TTATGTGTTCTGGCACAGGAGAGCAAGATACCTTTAAATACACCAGTACAATCTAATAAGAGATGTATTCATGCATGAGACGTATTGACTATCCCGCCTCGATAAAACTAAAATATACTAGCATATAAAATTCTGCACAAACCTCTCAATCTCTCTTTTCTGACCGCTGAAGGCAAACACAGTCCTGATGGCAGAAAGCACCTCCTCTGCCACCGCACCCGCTCTGGCGTAAGCAGCCTGTTCTTTCGACGCGAATGATGACAGCACCTAAAAAAGAAAACCAGATAAGATTGGCAATGAGAGATTTTTATTTTATTCGATTTTTTTTTTTTACATCAAAGCCAGACAGGGGTGGATAAGGTTTACCTTACTAAAAAGCGCAGCTGACAAGCCCACCAAGGGGCAGGTGGCCAAGATGACCAGAGCGAATTTCCATCCTTTGCTTATAGCAATGATGATGGATATGGCGAAAGTGGAAAAGGACTGGATCAGCATTCCCAGCTTATCTCCTATGCCCTCTTGGATCTTATAGACGTCACTGTCCAGGCAAATGAACATGTCTATCAATTGCAATTTGCAATACATTTGTGTCTGTTCGGTGTAAGGACTTCAAATACAGATAGAAGCTTTTTAAAAAACAAAATAAATTATTTATTTTAGTCTCCCAGCACCATCACACACTTTTCCCACCTGTGCCCAAGCTTCCATATTCCCTCAGCGTAAAAATCTTTGGACTGACGTCTCAGCCAATCGCTCACAACACTTTTTGACTTCATCGTCACTTTCAAACTTGGTGCCAACTACTCTGAACTGCTGAGGCAGGTCAAAAAAGACAACAAACGCAGGGGTCATCAGTCAGAAGGAGTCATCTTGCATCATGACAACACAAGGCCTCACATAGCAGCCCAAACGGTGCAGACCATCAACAAGCTGGGCTGGGAACTGCTCCCTCAACCCCCTTACAGCCCAGACCTTGCCCCTTCCGACTTCTACTCACAAAGTCTGAAGGTGACGAAGTCAAAAGTGTTGTGAGAGACCGGCTGAGACATCAGTCCAAAGATTTTTTACACTGAGGGAATATGGAAGCTTGTGCACAGATGGAAAAAGTGTGTGACAGTGCTGGGAGACTACAACGTGATCAGTTTTGGAAAAGGAACACGATGGCTGCCGAGAAACCCGGCTTCACCGGGCCATGTCAACGTATCTGCTCGCCTCGAAAGAACCTTCCACTTTCCTGGTCTTTATATCATCTGAATGTGAGAGCTGTGGAGGTAGTTTGCTTTGAAATGGATGGGTGCGATTCACATGTTACTCACTCAACGAGACAAGTGTTGAGTGTTGCTGTCTCGTTGACGTCGAACCAGCTGATGTCCTGTCGCATGACACTGTGGAAAAATTGCTTGCGAATGCTTTTGACTTGTCGTCCGGCAGCCAGTGCAAAGAAAGCAGCTTGCATGTAGCAAGCCGCAATAACGAACGTCCCCACGATGCCATAGTAGATGACCAAACTGGGATAGAAGAAACACAATTCATCAAATGTGTCTCGGTGAGTGTAAATTAAAGGTAGAGTTTACATCGTTAAAAAAAAACAAAAAACAAGACGATTTGTCATGTACTGCCTGGTACGACCTGACAGTAGAATATTACTCAAGAGTCAAGTGAGGCTACGTTCAAATCTTGCTGGCAGCTTGATCATCATACACACATAACTCACCTTTCGAAACTCGGTCTTACCTCTTCACATCCTCCTGCAAGGTGCTGTTCAGAATTAGCGAGGAGGAATCTAAAAATATCAAGGATAAAGTGTAATGCTCCTTTGTTAAGTCAGATGGCTATTTGTTAACTCTCTCGACAAACTCACTGGCATGGCTGGTGTTCATTTGAGGTAATACTGAGTGGAGTATAAACGTGTCCACCACTTTCCCAAACAAAATACACGTTACGGGGAACAAAAGCCCATGGACAATCGACATCACGGTCCCAAAGACGATCAGAACAACATCGAAACCATTTGCAAACCTGAACTGTACGCATGTCAAAGGGAGAAGGAAGAAAATGCTGAATGGCGTTTAAAAAAATAATAATTGTGGTTTCAGCTAGATGGATAGAGACAGAAAACTTACCAGTCCAATTGGTCCAACCGTGGGTATTTTTTTCTCTTTTTTCTTCTTTTCGTTTTTGAGATCACTGGGTCAAAAACAAAAAAACTTGATTTTCAACTGCTTTCCTTGAAATATTAGTTCTATTGTTGGGTTAATTTTGCTACTTAAAAAAAACTAAACAAAAAAAACCGTTTGAGTTACAACTTCAGGAATATTACCTTAAATAAATATCCGTTGTGTTCTTTTGCAAAGTGTCTGTTTCATCCATTTGTAGGTTTTGTCAGAAAAAAAAAAGGTGAAAATCTTTTGGTTTGTAATGGTCCTTTCTGAAAAATTAAGCCATGTCAGTCAGTAGCATGACCATTTCGTAATGAAGAGAGAGATAAAACGGAATTATACCTGAGTGCTTCCGTGTTGTTGGCGTTCCGCATCCTCATTAGTGTTCCAATGTTTGACAGAGCTTTGAAAATTTAGATTGTGAATGTGTGAGCACACACACACCGAACCAACACTACTTTTAATTGCCCTAAAGCAGTGTTCCAAACCAACAGTATATTGAGACATACCATCCAAATAGAAAACAAAATTCCTCCAAGTGGATGCACATGTTAACTAAATGGACTGTAACTTTTGCCTTCTCGGAGAAGGGCATTTCATTGTTCTGCCTGCCATTTTACATTGCTGGAATTGATAGATGAACATATATAGGTATATAGTGAATAAATGATAATCCGCTCAACACAACTTTATTTATGAAGCACTTTAAAAACAATCAATGCTCGAACAATTTACAAGGGCCACCGGGATCAAATACTCCCACTTCCATTTTCTATCCATTCACATTTTTAGAGTCACCAAGTCTTAAATGTCTAAGACATAATCGGTTTTACCAAGAAAGGATCTTTCATCTTTGATGGGACACTCATAAATCTGACTGACTGCCCTCAGTAAAACATTGGAAGGAAAACACACGTTTTCTCAGGATGGAACCCATGAAGGCAGGTAGAAGGACAAAAGGAAGTGCTTTAAAATGGAACCCTGTGGAATCCCATAAAATAGTGGACCCAACCCAAGGCAAGTTCTGCCTGCCAGATCAGAGAGAAACTAATCCAGAGCTCTACCACTAATGTCTATAAAGTAGCTGTAACCAAGACTCGAGGATGTTGTGGTCCACCGTATCAAATGCTGTATTGAGATCTTATCGGGACAAGACACATAGTCCCAAGAGTCATTTGTAAAGAGGATATCATTAATAATTCTTAATTAAGCTTTGGTGCTACACAGCAATTTAAAACCTGCTTTTCAAAGCTCCAGGACATCAGACTCATCCAGAAATGATGGGAAGTGGGTGTGCACAACTTTTCTCAAGGTTTTTAAAATAAAAGATAGCTTGAACATATGATTATCTACAGTTCGATGATGGGATGGCAAGGAGTAGAATTATGATCATGTTCCGTAAAGCTGCAAATTTTCTCATGACTTCTCAGTACAATATTGCTCTTAATCTTTACAATGAAATGGCAATCTTCTCATTAAAAAAATGACGACAACGTAACTGTCAGACATAATCGGACCCTCAACATCTGTGGATCTTTATCAAGAGACACAACCTTATTGTCATTTCACACATCAGCCAGTCGGCACACGTCTCTCTGTCCAAGCTGCTCAGTACCATTTGGCTAACTCAACAATGACCAAATAAATCGCAGTGTTATAATCAACCCTTTTTGTTATCACTGCCCATAGTTTCCTCTTAGATTTGAATGTCTCCCCCTACCACGGCTGATTTGTGTCCTGTTCGGATTATTTCACCACATTTTGCAGTGGAACATCAACCACTCCAAACACAGCTAAGTGGAGTAAAGTACATACAGCTGAACTTGCTCAGGTGATGTGTGGGTGGGAAACCGGTAGATCGACAGAGGTGTGAAATGAGTGCAAATGTTGTTCAAAATAATTTTATTCTGCTCAGGTGATGTGTGGGTGGGAAACCGGTAGATCAACAGAGGTGTGAAACGGGAATAGACATTGCAAAATGAGTGCAAATATTGTTCAAAATAATTCTATTTATACAAACAGCGAGCGACACTTTGCACTTTCTCTGAGTGTAAAACATGCAGATGCAATCTGGCCGCATTCCAGATGAATTACATAACAGCAATGTGAGGTAGGATCTGTTGGCGACAGTGTGGCGAAAGATGTCAAGAGTGATAATGAGTAAATGCTATTTTGTGCAATAAAAATTGCAAAATTGAGCATTTACTCATGATCATAAATTATATTTTACAACACAAAATGTGTATCTAAAAGCAAACGTATCTCTGCTAATAATACATTCTCATTGTAGGTTGCCTGGAAATTGGCATGCAGCAATCTCAAATGCACTTCAGATTTCGCATGCTCCACTTCAGTCTTTCAGTAAGTCAGTCAGTCAAAAATTCATCATATTTCCACTGCCTATTATGCTTTTTTTGTTTGTTTGTTAATGTCAGTTATCTTCACTTACTTTTCCCACCCTAATGGAATCTCTCTTCCTGATTCAATTATACAAGACCCAAACAAAGAACACGGAAGCATATGTCACTTTCAGATCAGTAATTCCCAACCAGTGTAACGTGAGACATAACCATGAAATTCAATAATTTCACTTGATTCATCTGAAAATGTCTCTCAATCCATGCCGACAATAGTGATAAGCAGAACAATTAAATGCTCTACCACTAGATGGGAGACAATTTAAATGTGTTCCATCTGTTGCAAGTACACAGAATAACATTAGTGTGAATACTGTATATAAAATTTGAATTTGTGTTCAATTAAACAGACGCAGCTCAGTGCCGTTTTCCTTGATGGCAAGTTTCATGTTTAGCTTTAAGTTTTCCACAAATTTTTTTTTTTTTCATGGCGATAACGTGATGGCGACGAGCTGAACATGGCTCTTTCATGAGTAAAAACGTAACAAGTTTTCACGTGAAAGTTAGTGGGTGGTTTGTCAGATTTTCAAAATACGTGCTTAGCACACCGACGTTTATTCCGAAGTAACAAATTTGGGATAAGTTTCATGTTTAGCTTTAAGTTTTCCACAAAACTCCTGGCGAAAATGGGCTGCTAGCTAGCTTCAAGTAAAAGTTAGCTTTGTTGTGGTAGCGTTAATTTATTAGCTTATATGTGTGTTACTTTTATGTGTCAAATTTGCAGGGATTTTTGCAATGCTTTATCATATTGACACATGTTTGAGTGACTGTCTGAAACATGGAGGGAAAGGTAGCATTTTAGACCTGTTGCTGTTGTCCAAACGAGAGATAGAAAACAAAACAGCACAGGTAAATTAGACTTTTGTTCATTGATCAGAAGGTACAGGGTAGGTGCGGTCATGTGATTAATAAGCCATCAAGACGTATTTTTGTTTTGCTTCTTTGATAGTTACGGCAAGGTCGCATATTTTTAAAATTGTGTGTTGAATTTGAAATACATGATGTACATTTGTTAAAAGACGTAATGATTTGGTTACACTAAAACGAGAATCAAAACTTGGGAGTTTTCATCAACTAAAACTCACATATCTTGAAATAACTATAATTGAATAAATCTAATCATTTTCATCCAAAGGACTAAAATTACCACTAAAGAGTCTGTCAAAAAACAACACTGGCCCAGATTTCACACTGCATAAATCAGTTTGTGTGGAAATTGAGACAAGTATACATTATTGCAAGATACATAATTTTTGTGACCTTTTTGTTTCGTAGCGTCCCGTGATGTTTTTTCTCTTATAATACATATGCCATGGCTTGATAAAAGTTGCGAAACACTGATCTGAGGAATCAGCCAACCTGAGCTGAATTTTTGTAGTTGCACTTGTGCGTGTCATCTAGTAGACTCACAAACAGTTGTGTGCATTCAAACAAACAGCCACTATCATTTGAAATGTAAGACCTAAGAAAATAATTTGAAAATCGAAAACCCCACTCATTCACTATCACGACCCAACTGTGTGGTGACCAGCATGTGGTAGACGCCCTTTTCGGCTAGCAGCTGCTGATGTGTCCCTTGCTCAACCACTTCTCCTCCCTGAAAGACGGCGATGCGGTCTGCATTTTGGATGGTGGACAGACGGTGGGCTACGACGATACACGTCCTGCCCTGCCGAGCTTTGTCCAACGCCTCTTGCACCACCTGGATCGAGCGCAAATTGAGAAGACAGAAGTCAATCATGGCTAAACATCAGGCGGCAATTCCAGAGGAGAAGAAAAAAAAAATCATGCCGAGCTTTGTCCAACGCCTCTTGCACCACCTGGATCGAGCGCAAATTGAGAAGACAGAAGTCAATCTGGCTAAACAAATGTGGAGCAATTCCAGATGAGAAGAGAACAACTCACCTTCTCATTCTCAGCGTCGAGTGCAGACGTAGCCTCATCC